TCACAATTGCAGACATTTATGACAAATAAACCCATTATTGGGGAAAATGAGTGGAAATTAATTACAACTAATATTAATGACAATACAATTTTGAAAATATTTCTGAGAAGTAAACCATTTTGTTTCATACGAAGCAATAATCAGAAAACAAGTTTAGGTTTGTATTCAAATTAAATTTCAAGAAAGTAATTTTGTTAATTATTTATCTTTTAGACACAGGTGAAATTAATGAGTCCATGTTTGAAATCAAATATTCTGTTTATCAATTGTGTGATGATTCATGTATACTTAAATCATCAGAAAATGTGTATAAATTATTCAAAATAAATATACCAGGTTAGAATAGAAATTTTTAAACTATTATCTTCATGAAATCTTAGGACTCCCCCTTCATTAAATTGTTATTTATTTATTACCATATTATTTACCTCTATATATAGCTTCTGTTAAAGAAATGAATGAATTAGTCGTTGATATAAACAAAATATTTGATACGAATTCGAATATTTCTGCCGAATATTACAATTTTTGGATTAAAGATAATAAAGCATTCATTCAATGTGAATATAATTCACTATATTTATGGAAGTTAATTGACACTAAAAATGCAATATTTAAAAACCATACCTCCGATGACATGATTTGCATTGATTTCTACATATCGTGTGAATTAATACGAGAACTCTTGCAATGTCTTCACTATTATCAGCAAATGTGGGAAATATTAGACGAATGGGATATAAGCGATAAATATATGCTAATTGACACGGATTTGAAGTATGACAGATGTATCAGGGTATACACATACTATGCTCGAAACGAAACAGCATATTGGATTTTTAGTGATATTTATAGTTATTATTATAGTTATTACCGGGAAAATATTGATCATATTTTTAGGCCAATCTTTAAAATGTAAGTATAATGTTATTAAGTAAATATAATTTGTAATAATAGTATAATATATTTAATATCATTAGAGACAACATACCGACTGACCAGGGTATACAAATTGATAGAATTAAAGAGTATTTAAATGATAAGAGCGATATAAATAAAACTATCCCTTCGGTCGAGGATATGGTGAATGAGTTTAACGACATTTTCGCGCATAATATCCGTATAACCGATGAAATGATTTCCACATTTCAAACACACATTCAATCCATGGATTCACAAAACTTTNCTTCGGTCGAGGATATGGTGAATGAGTTTAACGACATTTTCGCGCATAATATCCGTATAACCGATGAAATGATTTCCACATTTCAAACACACATTCAATCCATGGATTCACAAAACTTTGATTTAAATTTCTTCTATAAATTCTTATTAATGAAAACCAATTCAACAAACAATTCGTCGAAAGATTTTAGTTCAACGGCTCCGACAGTCAACCCAAATATACATGAAATACCTGTAAATACAAACTCGACCCTTAATACAGACCAAACACAACGGGATGAAAATTTAACTCAAACAACGCCTACACCTATCGCACACATACCTGAGCTAACAGTCGACGAAATCGACAACTTTTTTAGAGCCTGTGATGATTAACCCAAAGCACCCAAACATCGAGTGTTGTTGATATGGACCCTAGTGTTCAACAATGGGCTGTAGTCTCAGACCATAGAAAGCGTGTACTCGAGAGTGGTTATGAATTGCAAAATGGACAGCCTACTAAAACTCAGAAGCTATTTAATGATTGAATATGAAATAGAAATAATCATACACCATCTAACAGATTTTAAAATTACTCAACAAAATGTTAAAGGGTAAAATGTTATAAATCAATTCCTATTTTATAATATCTTTGTAAAATAAAATTTCAATTCACTTATGGTATTGAAATAGGTGCAACCACCAAACCATTTCGTATCTATGTAAATTCATTACTTAACATGCAAGTAATTGTAAAATAACATTTATTAAATGATATATTATTTATACTATTTATAATTAGAAAATCCTGAATCGGTTGTGAGAATATTCTGTATATATTAGGTGAAACAGAAAGTCCGTGGAACAATTCATTTTAATATATCTCCCAAAGTACAAATGACAGAGAATATTGCTATATATCATTAATTGACATATTTACCCCTGCTAAGGGTAATAGCCCTCCAGCGGTCGGGTAGCATCGTTATCCCCTTC